AGATGGACTCCTGTAAGAGTTCGAAAGTTCAGGACAATAAATCAATTGATCCGGTGCTCAACAAGTCTTCTCCCTTATCCATTAATTAGTTTAATTGATTTGTTTAGTATAGCTTAGTGTACTTAGTTTAGTTTGTTATAGAGTACTTATTTATCTAACGATTGCGGCATCTAACTTAACTGAAAAATGAAGTAAAATGAAGCTAAAATTAAACTTATAAAATAAATGACAAATTTCAAACTAAAAGTAACCACAGTACTAGGGGTATCTAAGATGGACGATCAACTTAATTTTTACGCAGTTACATTAGCGAAACCCTGTGAGTAAAAGAATGTCTCCAAAGCCGTAAGCAATGGTAAACATAACGATCTGCATGCCGAGTGTCCAGCACTTAGGGCACAAGCGGGCAACTATCCTCGAGGAATGCGGCGACGCGGTGCATTAATTACCCATTGCCTGCTCACTAAGGATTTGCTAGTCATTACTCACCCTACTGTGTGTAAGACTGGAGTCGGCCTTCTCCAAGGCAAGTCAAGAAAACTCATGAATGAAGGCGAACTTTCGCCTTCCGGTGCGTGTGTACACGCAAGTAAGGTGAAGGTTGTTTGAGCTTCGGTAGCGTCCTTTCCCCCATTCATTTGAACATCCGAACTCGTACAGACGTCGGACATACAGTGTGGCGAGGGCTGTATGCAAAATTCATGACGAGATTTAACTTGGTAGTTTAGCCTATATTTTGTCACGTTATTTTGATCCTCTGAGTAGATTTAATTCTGGGAAAGCTTTAAGTTAGGAAAAGCATGCCCTTCTTGTGACCAACTGAGGTCACACAGAGCTCAGCAAGTTTGATTTTTCGACTCAACTGGCAGAAAATTTCGTAATGTCCTTCAAAACCCATAAATATAGTTTCTGCACTTTATAAAATGACCTTATCTATTCCGACAGCCTTGAGTGTTTTTTTTTCTCCGATGAGTGTTTCGTATACTACGATTTAGTTGAATGATTTGACACACGTGAATTGGAGGCCACTTCCGGTATATTCAGAGGTGATATAAACTCTCACGTTTATCTCATTAAAGATGTGATAAGAATTAAAAGCATAGGCAGATGGGCGTTGATGGCAAAGACAAAGCAAACTGGCCCAGTAGCCATAATCAGCCAGTCATACCCAAACTCCGGTTGTGTCCCATTCGAGGCTCGAACCCTGCGACCTGTGAATCAGAAGTCAAACGACCTAACCAACCTCGGATCGGGTATGACGGACTGATAATTGTTAATGTGTCAGAAATAGCCAGTCCAGTCTACCCTGTCTTTGCCGGCAAATTTAATTACTAGGTGCTGGTATTAATGAGTTCCAGAAGCTATGTCTGAGCGTTCATCAAAGAAATAAGAGCGAGCTCAAAGCTCAAGTAAAAACTCAGGTTGTGCTTAAAAGTTCAGCAAGTATGATTTTTCGACTCAACTGGCAGAAAATTTCGTAATGTCCTCCAAAACCCATAAATGTTCCGTTATGGTTGTTGGCGACGATCATCAACCGGAATTAAGCA